AACAGCCTGACAGGTGTCGAGACCCCGAAACCCGCGGGTAATGGCGGAGGCGGGCTCGTGGCCGTCGATTTGGGATTTAACAGAATCGAAGGGTACCCGCCAGTGAATTTCGCGGGCTATCCTGTGCTGTCGTCACTGTCGCTTCGTTACAACCGACTACGTGGCAGGATCCCATTGGAGTATGGGCGGAAAAAGTCGTTGAAGAGGTTGTATTTGGACGGAAACTTCCTGATTGGACAGCCGCCGACGGGATTGGTGACCGGCGATGTCTCCGGTAGCTTGGGGGATAATTGTCTGCAGGTGTGCCCAGCTTCTTCAAATCTGTGCCTGCCTTCGCAGAAACCAAACGCCATTTGCAAGCAAGCGTATGGTGGAGGGAAAGGAAAAGGAAAACCGAGGTCTTGAAGACTTGAAGTTGAAGCGTCAGATTGTTTTGTCGGTCGAATATTATTATTATTTTCAAAAGGTTAATAAGCAGAAATGTATAATGCTTTTTGTATAGTGTAACATAAATTATACATATATTAATGTAGGCCCTCCGATCTTATCATGTATTAATGATATGCGTTTTATTTTAGGTAAATGATTTTCCCCTCCCCTTTTATCCACCTACACGCTTTTTTGTTTAGAAAAATAAAGTGTAAGTGGATAAAAAAGGAGTGAGAAAATCAATCCCCTTATTTTAATTTACATGCTTCCATATGAAATATTCATTATCGTACGTTCTCATAACATAAAGTTATGTTGGCTTTATCGCCCTAAAATGGATTTATGTTGGTGTAGTTATTCTAATGCAAATGCCGTCTTAGCTCAGCCGGTAGAGCGCACGGCTTTTAACCGTGTGGTCGTGGGTTCGATTCCCACAGACGGTGACTTTTTTTATTTATTTAAGTTTTAAACTAATTGATTTCATGTTTCCTTGATTATACGACAAATTTAGAAGTCTTTACAATTGTTTTCATGTTTTCTTGATTTTATGACTAAGTTTTAAGCATCTAAAACTACGTACATCAATCCAAAACTTAACAATCATGTCATGTTTGACTTATTAACGGATATTTAAACTTAAGATCTCTTCAAATACTGTGAAATAGAAACATTATTAAGCTTGCAGTAATTATTCATATTCTATTAAAGATAAAAAAGACGAAAAGAGATTTCATGTTGATGTGTAATCAAATCGACTAAAGTTACACGTAAAAGTAAAGTAATTGACCCTAAACCTAACTTGACATCTACAACTACAAGCACGTGAAGTTTAGGGTTTTGTATTATTATACTTGAATCTAAATTAGCAACTTTTAATTTAAATTGTTCTTTATGGCTGCATTTTCAGAGAGAAGGCGAGTATCAAGAGAGAGAGAGACAGAGAGAGAGACGCAGTTGAACTTGAAATTGAATGAGCTTTGGATCCTTCGTTACAGAAACTGCAACTGACTTCTGCCACTGTCAGGGATGACTGGCCATTTTGTTGGAGAATAATCCGGGCGTTACGTAATATTATAAGAATTAATTCACTTTTCCCCAAAACAATTAAATAAATAAATAAAAACGTTTCTGTTTTATGTTTGGACTGAAAAGCTATCAGTGAGCTGTAAACGAGAAAAGTCGTCAAAAGTTGCTCACTGTTTTTCTATTCCAAGATTCGATTTTTCTTTGCTTACATGATTGGGATTTGGATTGGACTTTTTTTTCTTTTTTTACTTTCACCGTAATGGGTAATTCATGTTTTTACTCAAATATTGTATTCCATGGTAAAACAGTGAATCCTCAAATTGACAGTAAGATGGAATTGTTTATTTAGACTATTGCAAACCACTATACATCAAATCCATTTATACATGTAAGCAGTGGAGGATTCAGAAATTTTTCAGGGAAGGGGCAATAAATAAAAGATATAATTGATATGGTTCAAATTTATCATTAAAATAAAGCTCTCATCACAATCATCCTTATTCTACCAAATCCGTCATATGTTCTTTTAAATATTTTTTTATTAAAAATCTTTCTTATTAAGAAGGACAATAGTATACTAAACTTACATACACTATACAAGTGCTAGGACTCGAACCGAGAACCTCTCCTGAAGGAATAGTTGCTCCAAACCATTAAACTAGTTTTGCTTAGTCTTTTTGTGTTGGTGGATGCATGCAGTGACTTACGATGGACCAGTTAAGCCTAATTTCTCTTCATAATGATAGGTGTCATTCTAAATTATTGGTTCCATTACAGATAATGCCTCAAAATTATTGGTTTAAGGGTATTAATTACTCCCTTATCTCAGTTTCATACACCTCGTTTCAATAATTTGATAAACTATTTGCTTTATCTAATTTATTCGAGTTATTAGTCACTAATGATTGTTATGAAGCTATATAATAGGTTTGGTGTCTATGTGCGACAATATAGAGTACTAGGTACTGATGGCTCCTTCAAACTTGTTCCTTTATTAGATATTAGCCTTCCAAATATTGAAAGGTTCAAGGGCAACCATGCCCCATAAAGTAATGGACAATTTGCTCACTCGCTTTCAAGTGTCCCATGAGTTTACTGTTTTGAGAGTGGCAAACAGGAAAAAAGAGAATAAGACTTTGGAACACCAAATTGGAACATCACTATTTTCTCTCTCAGCAAGTCCTAAACTCGAATGTCTTAGAGTCGAAATCTGCTACATGAGTATATCATATTTAGGTTTACTTTATACATGTAATTTAGACGTTTATCAGTAATTATACATATACATTTGAGATTTATTACAATCTTATTTTTGAGGAATGAGTGAGTTTGTAGAGCTTCTCCTCTTTACAAGAATTTATTATTATTATTTATACAATTGATATTAGAAAAGAGGAAAATCAAATCTAGGACCTCACGTGCAAGGGTAAATACTCTTAACTACTTGAGTTACAAGCCCTTTACCCAATTTACAATAATTTGAAAACAAAATTTTTTGCATTATATGTGTATATATGTGGAGACAGGTCATTGCACCTAACCAGTTGTATATCATTCACAATATAGAAAAAAGTAGGGGGACCTGTAGGTAGGTACCTTTCAATTTATTTGGAATAGTGCTAAGGTGGATTATATTGGTAGCTGTAAGAGGTGAAAGAACTTTTATGGGCACATAAAGGAAGAGGAATTTATGTACCTCTATACTGATGGTTGACATAGAATATATG